AACACCCCCAGCTCCCTCAATCATTCCTCACAGGGTTTGTGTTCCAAGCCCCTCTCCAGCCTCACTGCCCCCTCTGGACACACTCAAGCATCTCAATGTCCTTCCCAAACTGAGGCCCCAGAACTGGACTCACTCAATCAGTTCAGCTCAGGAGCTTTCACCGTCAGCTGAGCCATGTCCACACCAGCACTGAGAGCTCCATCCATGAGCCAATCCTTGCTTACAGCCATGTCATCCTTGGTTATCCACGCTGTGGGACAAGGATCTCCACCAGCTGGGTGAAGCTAGAGAGCAGGCAGCAGCACGTGAGGAGTGGGTACGGATCCCAAAGGCTTCACTGCATTAAAAACATTTTATTCTCCAGATAAAATAGAGGCAGGCGTTTCCTATCCCCACATGGTGGAATGCAGAGAGTGAGGAGGAACGCACTTCACCTCCAGAGATTTTCAGGCCTTGCTCAGAAGAGCTGCCCAGAGAATAGAAATGCCTTCATAAGAGGAGAAAGGCAAAGAGCTGAGGATTTTTATGAGCACCAGAGCAGAGGAAAGGACTGGCAGGGAAACTGAGTGCTTACAGAAGCATGTGCATCTGCATTCCTCTGCAGGGAGCAGGACCAAATGGCCTCAATATGCACAGCAGCATCTCTGCACAGCAAGGGAAAGAGAGAGGCCAAAACACAGTGCTCTTCTACAAAGGGATTTCGACACTGGCACATTGCACACACAGGGCAGCTCATCTGAATTTAGGCAGGGTGGATGTCATCTTCTAGCATCTCACAGCCAGACAAAAGCCCCTCTCCCCTACTCTGATTCAATTTACGTACACTCCTAATGTTGATTACACTCAGCTAGATGAAGCATTTCTCTTCCAGTCTGGCAGCTCTTCCCAAGATACTCTCCAGAGAGGGAAGTTTATGCAGTAAATGACCAGCTTAATGCCTTTGAAATAATTTGCTGTGCCAATGCTTGCCTGGTGTTTTGCAGCTATGATACAGAGAGGTAAAAAATGTTGAATAAAAAAGCCCCTCTGCTAGTGCTTAGGTCAAGTAATGTACAATGATCTGTTTATTTAGCTGCTTTTCTAATTTTGAAAAACACTATTTGGGAAACAAAATGCTTTTTCTTTTGATTAAACATTTTAAAAATCCCATTTATTGCATTCCTTTTTGAATCTTATTAGGTTTTGCTCTTCCAAGTTGCAATGGGTTCTGCATTTTTAGACAGGACAGTGAACATGCAAACACACAGTGGCTAAGCCATATGGGCTTTGTGCAATAGCTAAGTAGACGTGGCACTGTTTTCATGAAGTTTTTGTGGCTCAAATAGTTAATCTCTAAGTAACAGATCTGTTATGGAGAGCCATCAGCTCAAAATGGAGCTATTTGGTTTCCAAACAGCAAATTAAGGTCAGTAAAATGGAACTGTGGCACCAGGAAATCTCTCTTCAATGATTATGAGTCATCTCACATGCTCTTTCTTTTCCAAAGCCAATGCACAAAGAAATAGGTTTTTAAACAGAAATACAGAAAGGCCTCATACCAGTTTTAAAAGGATTCCCACTCTGAAATGCTTGAAAGACAAAGTGAGGTTTTTGGCACTGCGGAATCCACGCAGACTCGCAATTACTGGAAAGCAGCCATTCAGGTCAGTCTTATTATATTGGCTTAAAGGGAAAATTAATACAAGCATTTTTGTTAACTAAAAATGTAATTAGACCTCACCTACATGCAATACATAATTTTTACTTGTTGTGCTTCTAAATTTTTGCTTATGAACCTTCAGGGCAGAGGGAGTTGACAGAACTCATCACTGGTTTTTATGGACCTGATATTTGCAAGTTGAATGGTTCACCAACACTTAAACCATATTTCAGCAAACAATGCAGCAAATATAGACATGGAAATTGGGGATAAATAATGCAGCAAGCCATGGTATCTCCAGTTATTTGCAACTCAGGTCCATAAAGGGTTGGGCTTATGCTGAGCTTTTTATGATCCTGTTTCCTTTTGGAGCATTACTCATAATGCAAAAGTTCAAGTCTCCACTATGAAAAACAGACTCACAAAAACCAGAATTGCTCACTGAAGAAAAATATATGCTGGGCCATAGACACTCATGTTCTTAGAACTAAATCAGGGCATGATCCTGACCTCAGTGCCACATAAGGAAAATAGGCTTGAATAGAGATCATTGAAAATAAAAGAAATTCATTTCTGGTCCATTTGAAGGAAAAATTACCTATGACTAGGAACGCAGGAATGTCAGATCACAGTGGTTAATCAGATCACATTTTATGTTTTTGAAAAATAAAACAAATAATTGCTGGACAACCAGTGAAATCCTAGGCTCAAGTTAGTTAAACTCCCTATAATTGCAACTATATTTTCACCTGTGCCTCGTGGGCAGTGGGCTAAATGACCTAGGAGTTTTCCAAAGAAGAATCAAAAAATTCAGCATGAGTTGTCCCTCTGCTGGGTGCCTCTCCTGTTCCACTGACAGCGAGGAAAGCAGCAGCACACGAGAACCATCTGTGCTGAACATGGGCAGCTCTTCCCACCCCTGTGTTGCTTCCTCTGCCAGCAAAAGCAGACACAGGGCACCTGGATTCATCTCCTGGAATTCTCCTTCCTTTGGACACCCACTGGTTGGTCTCCACCGGAGATTCCTCTGCTCAAATCCTCTCTTTTCCAAGGAGTGTTTGCAGGTAACCCAAGCTCTCCCATGAACAGTAGTTGGGCTGACTCTTAGGCAAGATGCATCAGAAAAAAAGCCAAAAAGTCTGGGCAGTACAGCCCTGTAACTGTTTTGTGGTTTACCCACCTGCAAAACTAAATGTGTCAGGTCTGAGCAGACAGGGAGAGCAGATTTGGCTCACAAGGAGAAATATCACGAGAACGGTGTTAGCAACTCTGCCTATTTTAACAATTTAGAAAGGCCATTTCATTCTTATACCAGACTTTCACTGCTCTTCAGTACTGGCCAAGACATTTTATCTGATTATTCTTCTATGAGGCTTAATTTGTACAGCTGACTATTTTTAAATGGCACATACTTCTGCATGGCAAGAAGGGAAATTAAGGAAGAAAATTATCCCATAATGTTCCTTTCTATCTAGTTAATAGCCTCCATGTGTATTATTTTATTACAGATAATTCTAACAGGTAATTTAGCAGGTGGCACTGGCAGTGCATCCTGCCACTCTGCCAGACACAGCAGCCCAAACGCCCTGCCAAGAGCAGGATTTCTCCAGGGGGGCAGATCCATCCAAAGGAGGATAAGGAAAGACAAGCAGGAGCCCTCTGAGAAATCAGGAATCATCTGCCAGGCAAAGCCACTAAGAAAACAAAGAGGGAAGGCAACCAAGGATGAGGGGGAAGGCAAGGCCAGGCTGGGCAGCACCCACAGCCCTCCAGCAGAGGAGGGGACAAGGGGCAATGTATGACCTGCTGACAGTGCCCCCTCACATGACACAAACAGCCACAGTAAGTACAGGCTCTAAAAAGCTAGAGGAAAAAAAAATCTTCTATAACCACAAGAAGAAATTTTTACTTCTTTTCTTCTTAAACATCTGACGATTTTTTTGCACTGCATTGTTGAAGGAGACATGCAAAACAGCACAAGAGGCAAGATCCCAAATTTATCCTGTGAATCTGTGCTTTCAGGCCTCACTCTGAGTAGGAAGACAAGGAGAAAATAATAGGTGGTAGACGCAGAGTCAGAGTAGGCACAGCAAAATGCATCAGTGAAGCATTGGAAAAAGCCCATCGGAAGGCAAACCTGGGAATCTGGATCACTTGGAAAGCTGAGGATGGTGGTGGTGGGTGTTTGAGCTTGCTCATTTGGCTTCCTGGATGAACTTTTTGATCTTCTGGTCATTAACTGAGTCCTGATTTATCTTGCACAGTATCAAGCGCTGGAGTTCAGCATTCTCACAGTAGACCCATAGAAAAGGCTTTGTATGTCAAGATGATGACTGAAAGGACATCAGACAGCAGCAGGGTGTTTGCATATGTATAGCCACTAAAATTAGCTATTTTTCCATTTTATCCCTGCTAAGACCAGCCCAACCATTTGGCTAAGCTCAACACTGAAATCTATCTAGCTATATAAGCATAGAACAGGAGGCCACACCCATCACAATCTGTGGTGTGTCTGCCAGGAGGGTGCAGGAGAACAATTTCACACAGGTAATACCCTCAGACAAACTGTAATTCACAGGCAGTGACATTTGACAGGTGATAGGTTTGGTGTCACCAGTCGGGGACATTGTTACTCCACGGACAAGAAGGATGGCCCAAAGTGCACACCCCGCAGGCCTCTCACTGAAGGGCTCCAGAAATTCAGCTCACTTTGTCCACAAGGGTCTAAGGATCACTCAAGATCAAAACAGTCATTGTTCCAGAGCTGTGGGGCTGGTGGTGAGGGTGCTCAATCCCGGGAAGTCTCCTTGGGCAGCACCCCAGCCCCAAGGGAAGGGCTTCCCACCACAGACATCCTGCTCCAAGGAAAACCACATGAAAAAGGGGGCTATAACCTGGTCTGGTCAGGGCTTGTGGACATCCATGGTAAGGGTCCAGAAATTTCTCTGGACTGAGGTCTCTGATTACCTGGGGACCCTCTGTGTTGGCCAAGGGGTCCTGCCCTTCTCATCCCCCCCACGAAGGCAGGGTTGGGGTCATGGCACATGGCACATATGTGGAATGGGGCTGTGAGGAAAAAAATGAAAGGGTGTGACAGGGTGTGAAAGGCTGGCAGCCACCTCAAACCAGCCAGGGAATGGGGGGGGATCCCCCTGACACAGCCTGTCGTACCACCAGCTACAGTGGAACCCAGAAGCTGTATTCAGTGTTAGTCCAGAAATACAGAAGTCACAGTATATATTTCTACTACTGAGAATATTCTTTTGTAGGTTAAGATGGGCTTTTCATACACAGCTGTTCAAGAGAACCTTTTCTCTCCTCTCTGTCTGCAGCCTGAGCAAAAGATGTAGCCGAGTTTGCTCGCAGCATGGATAACAGCAGTGGTCCTGTTCTTCTCCTTACCTTGCTCCTGCTGCAGAACACGAGCAGCCCCAAAGCCTCCTCCCCTCCTGCTGGCTACGAGATGGCAGAACCTCCAGCCCCATGCACCGGCCCCAGCAGGAACCACTCTCTGGTAGAGTACGGGCTGAGGCCGGGGGAAATCACAGCTGCCAGCGTGGTTTGGGGAGTGCTGTGGCTGATCTCTGTCTTGGGAAACTTCCTTGTTTGCTTAGTGATCCACAGGAGCAGGAGGACACAGTCCACCACCAACTACTTTGTGGTGTCCATGGCCTGTGCCGACCTGGTGAGCAGCGTGGGGAGCGCGCCCTTCCTGCTGCTGCAGCTGAGCTCCGGGCGGTGGATGCTGGGCAGCGGCGTGTGCCGGCTGGTCAGGTACATCCAGTACCTCACGCCCGGGGTCCAGATCTACGTGCTCCTCGCCATCAGCGTGGATCGATTCTACACCATTGTCTACCCCCTGAGCTTCAAAGTGTCCAGGGGGAAAGCCAAAAAAATGATTTTGGCCTCCTGGCTCTGCGGTGCTCTGTTTGCATCACCGGCCTGTTTTCTCTACGGCTCCAACAGTGACCAGCACTGCAACTTTTTTCTCCCCAGTTCTTGGCAAGGATCTGCCTACAGTATCATCCACCTCCTCTTGGTGTTTATGATCCCATCCCTCTTCATTATCCTCTTTTACCAGAAAGTCATTAAGTACATTTGGAGAATAGGCACGGATGGAATGACTGTCAGGAGAACAACAAATATTGTTCCAAGAACAAAAGTGAAAACCATCAAGATGTTCTTAATGTTAAACTCGATATTTCTCCTGTCCTGGCTGCCTTTCTTCATGGTACAGTTGTGGCACCCACAGGAAACAGACTACAGAAAGAGCTCCTTGCTTTTCCTGGCCATCACCTGGATCTCTTTCAGTTCCTCAGCCTCTAAGCCAACCCTCTACTCCATCTATAATGCAAACTTCAGAAGAGGGATGAAAGAAACTTTTTGCATGTCTGCCATGAAATGCTACAGAAGCAACGCATACACCATAACCACCAGTTCCAGGATAGCAAAAAAAAATCATGTTGGTATTGCAGATATTCCAGCTACAGCCAAAAGTGTCACCAAAGACTCCACTTATGATGCTTTTAACAGAGAAGCCAAGGAAAGAAAGCTTGCCTGGCCTATTCCGTCCAATCCCCCAAATACCTTTGTCTAGTGGGCTGCATTGTTTTGAAAAGTTACTCTGCACCCCAGAAGAAGGAATTTTCTCTCCTTTGAAACCAATGTATAGCTTTGTATTTTTAACCCAGCTTTTTGGGGGGGAAGGGGGGAGAGGGGAGAGGGCAGAAAAGAGATGTTTTATTTTATTAAATGCCTTGGGTTTGATGCATTCGTTCCAGTTCATTTCAGTTACTACATTCTTTGGGAAACTCCTCTCCTACAATCACAAACAGTGCTTATCTGCAAAACAAGAGTGCTTACCCTGTCTGTCTGTAGGGAGAAAAGGGAAAGAAAGAAAGAAAAACTGCTTGTTTTAATCCCTTTACAAGATGGGCCACGGTGCATAAATGCCTAAACCAACCCAAAGCCATCTAGGCTTCCTTCCACTGTGTCCCCACAAATACAGCTGTGCTGGGGTTGTCCATCCTGTTGAGATCCCACAGGTAAGATGTCCATATGGGGGCCCTTATGGCTTCACCCTGAGCCCACTGTGACAAAATTCCCACTGGTTGAGCAGGGTCAGCATTGGGCCAGCACTGGATGCTTCTGCATCTTTGTCCTTGTGCTTCTCCGGGGGTCTTGTGGTCTAAGCTGCCCAGGAGAAGTCCCCTCCTTGGTCTCTCCTTCCCCAGTCTCTCAAGCTGCTTCTAGCCCCAGCCTGGTGCACCCACCCAGAGGTGGGCACAGCCAGGAAGAAGAGCTGCTGAGCAGAAGGGGCTGTGTGCTGGGCACCCAGGGCCTCCTCACCTCTGAAACTGGCCGTGTGTCCTGGTCTGTCTCCCTCTGCTGAGGCATGGCTGCAGCACTTGCTGCAAAGAGTGGACTTTTCCAAACAAGAACACGAGCTCTGTAGTCCCACGCTGGCTTGGCAACGTCTTCCACTGTTTGGGCATGTTTGAAGAGGTCCCTAACAGGTGCCCCAGAGGACACGACCTGCAGGGGACCTGTGGCTGCAGGTGGAGCCGACTCCTGCTTCTCTTTCTCTGCCAGCACAGCAAGAAAACAACCCAGTGGGAATGGCTGGATCTTCAGTCCTGCTGGGATGGGGAATGACAGTGGAGACCAGGGGGAGAGGCAGGAGCTTCTTTGCAGGCCCCTGTCCCCCACAGTGTTAACAATCTGGGAAACAGGCACTGTGCATGAGGGACATGGGTGTTTAGACCTGGCTCTTGAAGGATGTGCTCCGGAGGCAAACTGGGCTTCCTCCCTAGGGGTGGTAGGTCCACTTGTATCACTAGGAGGAGGTAACAACATGGTTAGGTCCCAGAAGCTCTAGTTCAGTGCTAGCGCAGAAATACAGAGGTGCCTTGAGCATTCAGGCAGGAAAAACATCATCTAAGAAGCAGATGGATTATTGATTGTGTTGTAGTTCAGGGGTGGTGTAGTCAGAAATGAGAGAACATGTGTTGGACTCTCACCACATGTGATGACCACTTTGTGCTGCTTGAAAACCACGAGGTTCCCCAAGCTCAGCTGTGATCCATCTGACAGAGAGCTGGCAGCTCACAGACCCCTCCTGTCCTTTCAACCCCACTCCAACCCCTTTTCTTGCCTCGTGCTCACCAATTTCCTGATGTTGTCTACCCATGAAGGCTGTGTGTGGTCAGTACACAGGCAGGGCAACGTCTGTAGATGGGGGTGGAAAGCAGGAGGAAGGACTGCAAGGGTCTGTCAGGCAAAGAAGGGGACTTAATGAAAGGAAGAGGAGGAAGAAGCTGAGCCATTCTCATTTAAAATGGACCTTCTGAATGAAAATTTCTTCATCCAAAATCATCTGTACTTCCTGAAAGAAAGAGCTTTTTTTTCCTTTCTTTTCTTTCCCTCAGTTATCAGTGTCATTAATAAGGATTGGATTGAATCTATGTGTGGAATATTGATCTACTTTTCCAATTCCCATAGCATTGCCCAAAAGTACAGAAAACACAGGTAAACTATTTCTCCTCTAAATTAGGGTAGCACTAGCATCCTGTTGGTGAATTCCCCCCACTCTGCTGGAGGGGCCCATGGAAGGCCCAGCCCAGGCTGTTGCATCCCTTGCCTGCAAAGATTTTCTTTCTTTAACTCTTACAAAATTAACAGGACAGTTCTGTAGGGTTCTGAGTGGAGGCCTGTCCCTCCCAGTAACCACTGTCTACTGTAGCCTTGGTTACTTGAGGACAGGGCAGAGAAAGCAGAAAAGATAAAGGACTCCTGACACGTCCTCCCAGCCTCCAGCTGCCACTGGTAGGAACAAACACCTTCACAGGGTAGCTGCCAAACAGTGCTGCTGTTCCATAGATCCAGAGCAGGTCCAGAATGACCTAGTCTCAAAGACTGAAGGACAGGACAACCAGCCCCACTCTGCTTGCTCAGAGCTCATCTGAGCAGATTTCAGGAGCATTTTGCCTGAGAACCAAGGTTTTGACCTCTTTTCAGTGGAGGATCTCAAGTACTTTCTTGCTGTTCTTCATCTTCTCAACTAGCTCTGACAAAGCCGGTACATGGTGCATAGCTGGTTCTCATCCACTCTCTCTGGGCCAGTCTTGGGTTTGTAAACCTCTGTCACAAATTCTCAGTTATTTCTTTACCCAAATCTTTCATCTCTTGCACAGAACTGGCTCCAGACCAGCCTCTCCTCAGAGCATGGCCAAACATCCTCGAGTCCAGGCTATCAGAAGCACTTCACACTCAAGGCATCCTAAAAGCATTGTGGACACTTTGATCCCAGGTGTTCAAGCAGGCAGTGTGCAGGAGTCAGCTATCCCTCCTCATACTTCTGCTTCAAAATCTCCCTGCTGTCTGCTGGCAGGAGACATCCCTAGTCACAACCCCCTCTCAGAAGGATTATCTCTTTTTTTCTGCTTTCAGAGCAAACGTGGCACACTTGGGTTCCTGTTCATGCCTGAAAGTGCTGCAGCAGTGAAAGTGAATAGAACAAGAGCAGCAGGTACCACAGGGTGAAATAAACAGGGCTGTTTGTGTCCCTCTGCCATCACAGGGAGCAGGAGCACACACGTGTTGGAGCCCCAAGCTGACATCCCCTGAGGAGAATCTCTGCTGGCAGTGTGGGAGTGGGAAATTCATTTTGCTGAGAAATAATCCTACATGTCTGGTGAAAAACTTCCTTCCTCGTCCTCTACGACACAAAGTAGGGTTGGAAGAACCCTCACTGACCACAGGAACACTTACAGTGTGTATTTCACAAATTCAGAAATCCCCATTAAATAAGGATCTGGTATTTCTCATTAAAGCCACTAGCAAAAAACTCCCATGAATTAGATGAGAGGACCTTGAAAGTGAGTCAAGACCAGTATTTCCTGTCTGGTTCAGATTCTGACCTGGCTGTTTCTTGCTGAAACACCACCATATGCTTAGTTTTTTCTTTGACATTTAATCGCGTCTCACACAGCAAAATCAGATCTAGGCTAAGCAGGCAATTTAGCAACATTATTTTCAGCTTTGGATTGGAGATTGAAACACAACAGTTGTTCTTTTGGTTAGTAGTTTTATTAAAGAAATAATAAAGGAACTGAATAGAATGAGCCCTAAGGGCACAGAGGATCACAGGTTCATGGTTACCCAATGCCTGCTCAGAGCACATAGGACCCTTGTTTCTTCAAGTCTACCGTGTTTCCCCACCTTTCAAAAGGTTTTTCACTACAGAAGGTGGCCAGGAAAAGTCAAGGATTGCCATGACACATCAGCTAGGGACACAATGTCCCCCAGCTGAAAGAGCTGGTAGTTCTGCACTGACATGATGGGCTCTAACCAGCCGTGCAACTGTGAGTGAAGTCTGGAGGCTGGGTCTCTTAAACCACCTTTCCACATCAGTAAAATCCCAATCCCACTTGAATCAGAGTGAGGTTGGCTCTGCTTGCTGTGGCTTCTTTTAACCCAGACTACACTGGTAAAAACACAAGAGCAAGGAGAAAGCTTTCTCACTCCTTCCATGATTTTAGGACAGGTGGACAGGCAGGTTTAGGATTTGGTAGCACCAATGCCAGGTACCTCCTGGTTTGTCAAGGCCCCAGAAGTGCCAGAGACAGGAGATAGATCATGAATTATCTAAGCAAGAAATGGAAAATTCTGTAGGATTTGCCTGATCAATATAGACACAAAACAAACAGAAGAAACTCCCAGTCCATGAACACATCTCAAGCCCATCTACAAAGGGGACATTCTGGGAGAAAGCACTCCTGGGTCTCTTGCCCATCCATTCTTTAGTTTTAAATATTTCCTGTGTAAGAACATGATACAGTACCAACCATTAGGCTTTTTTTTTCCCATTAAGCAGACACATGTAAAGTAGAAATTCCATCACTACTGCTTATACTTGGTACTAAGTGGCTTGCCCTTGGGAATTCCTATTACAAATTGTCCAATTATGTCCCTTCCTTTTTATTTCAGCAGAAAGTTGGATTTCCAGTTAAGTATACTTTTAAAATTTCCAGTTGAGGGGTTGGGGCTAGTGAGAAGCAGAGACTCACTTCACTTGTACCTGTTTTTCCACCAGCCTCACGGAGGTGACAGCAAAGAGGCTATCACCAATAATTGGACTTAAGGGTTTCCATATGCCCACTGAAGAATCCCCAGAGTTTTTTTCAGTCTCCTCAACTCAACCCATTTACATTCAGATTTAACTGACATTGATTTAGGGGTTGGTTTTCCAAGGTGCTGAACATACGCCATCAATTGCAACTGAAATTCTGAGTGTTCAGCCCTTCTCAATATCAGATCCTTCCTGTTTAAAAGAACAAAAAGCAGATTTAAATTTTATTAAAGCCAGAACCATATGCTTAAAGGAAGGGTTATTAACTCCTTAAGTGATTCTGTAAGTTAATATGTCTTTATTAGTTGGCTCTTTTCAACTTAGCAAGTGTTGTGGAATAGGCCATTATAAATTACTGAAGCTTTATTTGAACTGGCTTCTAGTAAAACATAACACACCTACTGGAACATTGTTGTATAAATGTCACCTCCTGATGAGCAGTCTGGACTAAAGCACAGAATTTTTTT